TGATCCCATGCCCATCGGTGGAGTTTCTGTTGCCACCTAAATGATGGTTATGGACACTTGGTAATGACACAGAAAATGACTATGGCATAATGAAGTGAAACAGCAAGAGAGAAAATTACAATACAAATCATACGACTCACATGGATAAAGACTATAATGGGGCACTGAAAGCGCGTCGTTGATGTACCTTCTCCTCACCCCATTGTTTTAGTGTCATTCATTCCAGCTGAAGGTAAAGCTTAGGCATCAAAGGTTTAGGATGAAAGCTGCCAGGAACACCTGAATAAGTTCTAAGGCTGGGGTGGATGGTGGGGTCAGGGGTACATGCCCACCCTGTGACAAGGCCACCACTGGGACACTGAGAGGAAATGCCTTGCTCTAGCACATAACTAAAAGTAGCTGAGCCAAGGCCTGCCACTGGTCTAGACATGAGCTTCTACCTCAGTTTCCCTGCCCATGCCTCCTATTCCTGCTGCCCAGCCCCAGACCCACTTTAGGCATATGTGGGTCTCCTTGTATTTGTCTCTAGGACCCACATCCAGAGGTCCTGGGGTTCCCACAATAGTTACAAAGACAGCCAGTGTGGATTGCGTGGCATTGGGTCTGCTGGGAAGCAGACACGGGAGAGGACCCCACAAGCTGTCCTGCAGTGGGGTGCTCAGATGTTGCCAGTACCCAGCAGGGCATCCTTCCTTCTTCAAGCTGTGCTGACAGGCCCAGAGCCCACCCTGCTCCCGGCTTCTGGCACTGGCAAACTTTCTGGGACAGCATGGCCTAAGCCTAACTCCTCTATGGGAGACGGGAAAATATTTGCAGAAACAAGTGTATCCTGGGCGTAGGACTGATTATAAGGAAGGCTCAGCCCTAGAGAACAGATTATCGTTCCTCTACTTTGGACAGAGATGTGGGTGTGAGAAATATGTAACCTTCCCTTTCCCCTGACCGTGCAAAAACACACAGCAAGAGGCTGCTGTCCTTCCTCCTCCATGTGGGGCTGTGGCATGAAAAAACACAGGCTCCATTGGGCTCCCAGGGGGCTAACCACATGCTCAGACCTTCCAGGTTTAAGAGATGCCAGGACTCCTGACTTGAATGTTTTGTATTTTAACTTTAAGGGTGGAAATTAATTATATTAAAAAAAAAGCCACTGTGGGGCCACGCTGTGGGCCAAAAGCACATTGAAAAATAACATCTCTAGCTCCCAGATGGCCAGTCTACAAGCCCACTCTGCTGGGGACCCACAGCCCTCAGTACTGGTGGCTGGCATAAAAAAATCTGCAAAAATGGAAATCCATTGAACCTATAGAAGAGAAGCATGTGGCTGGTCAGTGCAGTGCTGTTCTCCTTGCATCTTGGGGACTGGAGAGGAAATTTTCTCCCTGGGCCAGGTATGGCCAAAGGGGCAGAGGCAAGGATGCTCCTGGAGGAGAACCATGTCAGGACCACAGTGCCTCAGGAAGACAACCCTCTGAGCCCTGACAAATGGCATCACCTGCTAGCAATAAACAATCCAAAAAGAAAATTAAGAAAATAATTCCATTTACAAAATCATCAAAAAGAATAAATTTAGGAACTCATGCTTAGGAATAAAAGTGGAGTTATAAATCAAAGTTAAAATAATACTAGCTTTTATAATTGCCCAATTTTATATCTTTACCAGAGATCTTTATTTCTCTATGCAGCTCTGAGTTGCTCTCTAGTGTATTTGCATTTCATCCTGAAGGACTCGCTTTAACAGTTCTTCTGGGCAGGTTTTATGATAATGAACTTCTTCAGCTCTTGTTTATCTGGGAATGTCTTAATTTCTCCCTCATCTTTGAAGGGCAGTTTTGCCATATATAGGATTTTTTGGTTGATGGCTTTTTTGTTTTTTACTTTTAGCACTTAAATGTATCAACTCACTGCCTTCTGGCCTCTAAGGTTTCTGATGAGAAATCAGTTGATAATCTTATTGAGGATCACTTGTATGTGATGACTCACTTCTCATTTGATGCCTTTCACTAAATTTGGGAAGTTTTAAGATGCTACTTTAAATAATTTCTCTTCCTCTCTCTCTTCTCTTTCTGGGACACTCACAAAATGTATGTCGGTCTGCTTGATAGTGTCCCACAGGTCCTGTAGGCTCTCTTCACTTTTCTTCAATCTTTTTTCTGTCTGTGCCTCAGACTCAGTGATTTCAATTGCACTATCTTTAAGTTTGCTGATTCTTTTTTTGGCCTGTTCATATCTACTTTTGAATATCTCTAGTGAATTTTTCATTTTAGTTATTGCACTTTTCACCTCCAAAATTCCTTTGTGTGCTTTCAATCTCCTTATTAATATTTCCTTTTTGTTCATACATTATTTTCTCGACAGCCACTTTTTCCTTTACATCTTCGAACATCTTTAAGACAGTTGTTTCAAAGTCTTTGTCTAATAAATCCCTCATGTGGTCTTTCTCAAAGATGATTATTCTTGATTTATTTTTTCCCTTTGAATGGGCCATATTATTATGTTTCTTGTATGCCTTGTGATTTTTTTTTTTTTGGTAGAAACCTCAACACTTTAATCTTAGAATGTGGTAACTTTTTTTTTTCCTTTTTGTCTTTTTTTCGTGACCAGCATCGGATCGCAACCCTCAGTGTCGCGCCCGTACCGGACCGGGACCGGCAACGGGATCGCAACCCTCGGTGTTGCACCCGCACCTCGCTCAGCCAGTGAGCGGCCGGTCGACAATCATGGCCCAAAGATTCAGCAGGAGAGCCAAGCTCAAGGGCTGGAAGCTGGAGGAGGACAAGCTGAATCCTGGAAGCACCAAGGTGGCCCAGCCTCCTGGAGGAAGGAAGGCCCATGAGCAGTCCCTGATGGACTCAGCTGAAGGGGAGGCCTCAGCCCACATCCCAGCCCTTCCCCCACCTCATATATGAAACTTAAGGGAGGAAAGGGCCTGCCCAGGTCATGGGCCCAGACCATGCCAGCTCATGCCCAGCACCTTGTCTGGGCCCCAGCAAATCCTGGGGTCCTCCTCGTCTCCTTCCCTGGCAAAGCCTGGAGCTGAGACACTCATTCCAGTTTGGGTCCCTTGAAGAGCTCCTCCCTGTTCTCTGGTGTGTGACGGATGCTGTGGGGGCACCAGGACCTCTCCCAGGCCTGAGCCCAGAGGCTTTGCTCATGGCCTTGCCCTTGAAAGGCCACCAAACAGACTTGGCTGTGAGAGGAGGACCTGCCTGAGTTATTTTTGTGGTCCATATGGTGCTCAAGTCCTGCTGACAGATCCTGCTGTTTCTGCTTCTCGGTAAGCTCTTGTTCTGAGAGCTCAGGGCCCAGCTTCCAGGCAATCTGTCAGGTGCAAGTTGACAGTACCAAGACCCACAGCAGGTTGGTACCTAAAAATAGAGCTTGCGATAGAGGGAAAGTCAACCTCTCTCCTACTCCATAATCCATCCAGTCCCTTACTCTTGGTCCATGTTATCCACTGTTTTGTGAAAACACATTTCTACAAGGAGAGGCACTGGGCTGAAAGACACCATCCCTTTTATGGGAGTTGAGATATACCATTCGTTTACTCCTCCAAACCACAGTGAAGGGGTTCTGTTTCAACTTCCCGAGCATCATGCCTCCTTGCTTCCACTTCTTTCCACTGAATGGAACCTGGATTAAGTTGGGGTGGAGGGTAAACTGAGTCCTGGGCAATAAGTGTGCAGCATCCCCTCATTCCCCTGAGCAGCATCCCCTCATTTCCCTGGACCTTGTTTGGAGACTACCATGGAGAGATATTCTCTTGATATTTTTCCCTCTCATTTAATTTTTGCAAAATTAAACAAAAAAAAAGTTTATAAACACATCTACAATATGAACATCTGTGAACTACTACCCAGGCTAATAAAAAGAGCATTACCAACGTCTTACTTCCCTTACCACCTTCCCCAATCATCCCACTCTTCACTCCCCTAACCTATAGGCGACGACCATCCTGACCTTTGTGTTAATTGTTCCCTTGTTTTTTGTTATAGTTCTACCACGCTTGTGTGATCTATCCCCAAGCACTTTACCACTTAGTTTTGAGAACAGAGGGCAAGCACACACTAGTCGTGTAAGAAAAGGGCAGTACTGCGCCTGTTGGACAGAGGATCCAGGAGGAGGTGACCCGACCAGTCAGTCCCCAAGTCGTGGTCTGACTTCTGCTTCTCTGGGAGTGGACAGGCCTCTTTTGGGGAAGTCGTGAGGAAGGTCATGAGGGAGTCCTGGGAAACACTCAGCTCAGCACAGTTGGGCACCTGGCAGGGCTGAGGTGTGGACCAGGCACTGACATGCAGCAGAAATACAGTCAGAAGGAGGGGGCTGCACTGTACCTTCTCCTTCTAAGCCCACCATGCCTGCCTCCAGCTCTTGGGGAAAAGCTGAGAACTTCTGTGAGTGATTTGCATGTCCCCAGCAGAGCAGGAGAGGAGAGACCCTCATGGGCACATGTCAAGACAAGCCACATACTCATGAGAATATGGACCAAGCTCTATGGGGCATTCTGCCCTTGGGTTAGAAAGATGGTCTGAAGGAGAACAAAGGTGAAGAACTGACACTATCTGACTTCAAGACTTACTATAAAGCTATGGTAATCAATAGTGCAGTATTGGTGAAAGAACAGACAAATAAATCAGCAGAACAGAATAGAGAGCCCAGAAATAGACCCACATAAATACAGTCAACTGATCTTTGACAAAGGAGCAAAGGCATTACAATGGAGAAGAGAGTCTTTTCAACAAATGGTGCTGGAACGACTGGACACTCACCTGCCAAAAAATGAATCTAGACACAGACCTTATACCTTTCACAAATATAAGCCCGAAATGGATCACGGGCCTAAATTTAAAATGTAAAACTATAAAACTTCTAGAACACAACAGGAGAGAATCTAGATGACATAGGGTATAGCAATGACTTGTTAGAAACAACGCCAAAGGAACATTCCATGAAATAACGAATTAATAAGCTGTTCTTCATTAAAATCAAAAATTTCTGCTTCCGTGAAAGGCACTGTCAAGAGAATAAAAAGAGAATCCATAGACTGGGAGAAAATATTTGCAAAAGACATATCTGATAAAGGACCATTACCTAAAATATACAAAGAACTCTTTAAACTCAACAATAAGAAAACAACCTGATGGAAAAATGGGGCAAAGATCTCAACAGATACCTCACTGAAGGAGATATACAGATGACAAGCAATCAAAAAGATGCTCCGTATCGTATATCATCAGGGAAATGCGAATTAAAATGAGATCCTACTATATACTTATTAGAATGGTCAAAATGCAGAGCAATGACAACACCAAATACTGAGGATGGTGTGCAGGTAACAGGAGCTCTCATTCACCGCTGGTGGGAATACAAAACAGTACAGCTGCTTTGGAAGTGTTTGGAACAGTTTGGCAGTTTCTTACAAAATGAAACATATTCTTACCATATCATCCAGCTGCGGTTCTTCTTGGTATTTACCCAAAGTAATTGAAAACTTATGTTCACACAAAACCCTGCACACGGATGTTTATAGAAGCGTTATTCACAATTGCCAAAACTTTAAGCAACCACGATGTCCTTCAATAAGTGAACAAGTAAATAAACTTTGACACATCCAGATAATGGAACATTATTCAGCGCTAAGAAGAAATGAGGTATGAAAAGACACAGAGGAAACTTAAATGTGTATTACTAAGTGAAAGAAATATGAAAAGGCTACATCTGTATGATTCCAACTATATGACACACTGGAGAAGGCGAAAGTATGAAGACAGTAAAAAGATCAGCGGTTTCCAGGGATTGGGAGTGAGGGACGAACAGGTGGAGCACAGAGGACTTTTAGGGAAGTGGAACTACTCTGTACGATACTAGAACAGTGGACACACGCTGTATCAGTCCACTTTTGTTGCTTATAACAAAATGCATGGAACTGGGTAATTTGTAAAGAAAACGAAATTTATTGCTTACAGTTTCTCAGGCTGGGAAGTCCAAAGTCCATCTGTTGGTGGCAAAATTGACCCAGGGGTCTCACATTGCAACATGGTGGAAACAGAGAGCAGAGAGAGAGGGACAGACTCTCCTCTTCTTTTAAAGCCATCAGAACCACGCCCCTGACCACCATTTTTAATCCATTCACTACTGTACGGTCCTGTAATCCAATCACCTCTTCAAGGCCCCACCTTTCATTACCATAATAGGATTTCCCAGCCTCTTAACAGCGACAGTGGGGGCCAAGTTTCTAACACATAAAACTTGGGGAACACAATTCAAGCTTCAGTGAATTTTGGGGGGACATGATTCAACCCACTACATTCCACCCCTGGTCCTCCAAAATTCATGTCCTTTTCACATGCAAATACATTCATTTCATCCTCAAAGTCTTAACTTGTTTCAACTCAAAAGTCCAAATTCAAAGTCCCATCTGTGAAATCAATATAAGTTATCTACTTCCAAGATACAATGGTGGGACAAACATAGGGTACATACTCCTGTTTGAAAAAGGAGAAATAGGCCAAAAGAAAGGGGTAACAGGTCCCAAACAAGTCCAAAACCCAGCAAGGCAGGCATTAAATCTCAAAGCTGGTGAATCAGGTACCTTGATTCCATGTTTGACCTCCTCTCCACTCCTCTGGTGTGAGGGTTGGGTCCTCAAGTCCTTGGGCAGCTCTGCTCCTATGGCTCTCCTGGTCTCAGGCCACACTTCAGCTCTCCCATGCTGGTGTTCCATTCTGGTAGCTCTACAAATCTGGGGTCTCCATGGTGGCTCCATTCTCCCGGCTCCACCAGGCATGGTACTGTTGGGGTTTCTCTGCTGCAACTCTGACCCCGCATTTCTGCTTGGCATTGCTCTAGTGAAGGCTGTCTGTGGTCACTCTGCCCCTGTGACAGATCTCTTCCTGGGTCCCCAGACTTTTCCGTACATCCTCTGAAATCTGGGTGTAGGCTCCCAAGCCTCCACAGCTCTGGCATTCGCAAGCCTGCAGACCTAACACCACGTGGATGCTGCCAAGTCTCCCCAGTACCATTCTGTCTCCCTAGGTCTTTGGGCCTGAAATGGAAGGATTGGCTCCGGAGACTTCTGCAATGCCTTCCGGGCCTTTTACCCCTTCTCTTGATAATCCTGTTCTTTTGTGTTAATCTTCTTAGTACCATTGAATTTTCCTTCTGAAAATGCTCTCTGCTTTTCTACCACATGGCCAGGCTGCAAATTTTCTAAATCTTTATACTGTGCTTCTCTTTTAAATTCTGGCTTTATGTCATGCCTTTGCTGTCATAACTCAGCATAGGCTGTTGCAAGTAGCCATGCAGCTTCCTTAATGCTTTGCTGCTTAGAAATTTTTTCCACCAAGTACTCTGGTTCACAGCTCCTAAGTTCCAACTTCCACAAAGTCCTAAGGCATAGACACAATGCAGCCAAATTCCTTGGCAGTTCACAGCAAGGGTGATCGTTAACCTGGTTTCCAATAAACTCCTTCTTATTTCTACCTGAGATCTCCTTAGAATGGTCTTTACAGTCCATATTTCTATCAGCATTCTGCTCACCACCACGTAACCAGTCTCTAAGACATTCCAAACTTTCCCTCATCTTTTTGCCTTCTTCTGAGTCCTCCAAACTCCTCCAACCTCTCCTCAACACCCAGATCCAAAGCCATTTCCACATTTTCAAGTATCTGTTATAAGCAACACCCCACTCTTGGTACCAATTTTCTGTATTAGTCCATTTTTCTTGCTTCTAACAAAATATGTAGAGCTGGGTAATTTATAAACAAAATGAAATTTATCGCTTATAGTTTTTGAGGCTGGGAAGTCCAAATCCATCTGGTGGTGGCAACAGTGACTCAGGGTTCTCACATTGCAAGATGGTGGAAGCAGAGACAGCAGAGAGAGAGATAAACTCTCCTCTTCTTTTAAAGCCCTCAGAACCATGCAACTGAACACTGTTTTTAATCCATGGCACGGTCCTACAATCCAATCACCTCTTCAAGGCTCCACCTTTCAGTTACCATAATAGGATATCTCATCCTTTTAACAGTCACAGTGGGGGCCAAGTTTCTAATACATAAAACTTGAGGAACACAATTCAAGCTTCAATGAGTTTTGAGGAGACATAATTGAATCCACTATACATGCCATTATACATTTGTCCAAATCCATAAAATGTACACCAAGAGTGACACCCTAATGTGAACTCAATGAGTTTTGAGGAGACATAATTGAATCCACTATACGTGCCATTATACATTTGTCCAAATCCATAAAATGTACACCAAGAGTGACACCCTAATGT